ACCTTCTTGCTGTCAGGTGACAAGGCTAACCACTGAGCCACTGTGCCACCAAAATCCCAAATTCTTTCAATTAATTATTCATTTTTTTTTTGGCTTAATCACTTTATTAATTAGGGGTCGCCACAGCGGAATGAATCACCGACTTATCCAGCATACGTTTTATGCCACGGATGCCCTTCCAGCCACAACCCAGCACTGGGAAACAACATACAATCTTGCAGTCACACACACTCATACACTATGGCCAATTGAGTCCATCCAATTCACCTAAAGCGTATGTCTTTAGACTGTGATAGAAACCGGAGCACCCGGAGGAAACCCACGTGAACATGGGGAAAACATGTAAACTCCACACAGTGAGAAAACTCACCAAGCTGGGACTCAAACCAGTGACCTTCTTGCTGTCAGGTAACAGTGCTAACCACTGAGCCACAGTGCTGCCAAATTACCAACATCAAGTCTGAACAAATGATTTTAAAAAACACAATTATTAAAATTCATTTTCATATTTTTCCACGCGTTGGAAACAAGCAGAACACAATAGCACCAATTCTGTCCATCCTGAAGTAAAGCACATATTTTTAAAGTTAGAGAAAATATCCAAAATATGAATTAGATGCTTTCCCATCAAGTTGTTAGAGTGGCTGACTGTAGTAGTATTGGTCATTTATTAACAAGCATTATACAAGGCAAACATAATGGAGACAGCGGATAAGTCACATTGGTGTGATGTTCACTACATCAGAGTTTATTCAGCAAATGCATTCCCATCTACCATTATTCACATTAAAGTGTAAAACCCCCTAAATCAAACCTAAACAGTTTTTTTTTTTTCAAAAATATTCCCACCCAACTATACCTGACTTCAGTCCACACAAAAACTTCACTCAACAGATGTAAAAGTTTGTTTTGCGAACAGCAGCACCAATTGTACAGTCTATCTCTCTGCTGTGGGTTGCGTATACAGTAAGAGCTCTCAGCGACTATACACATCCTCCTCTGACCTAAAAACAAGGCTCTGGTTGCCCGCAACACGTACAATGACTCGAGAGAGAGAGAGAGAGAGACGTCCCAGATTACGGGTGAGCACTGCAATCACACAGTCCTTCCTCCCCCCAACACTGTCATTCGTTCATCTGGCTCTAGAGGAAAGCCATATGTACAGCAGTTGTGGCATTTGCTTCGATTACTCTGATTTTGCAAGGAGAGACTTTGTGTTTGGAAGCCTCCTGCATCTCTGTGGTAATTGTTCATCTTGTGTGTGTGTGTGTGTGTATGTGTGTGTTTTTTCAGTGCATTTCTTCAGATGTGAGGCCAGGTGCATAGTGGCCAGAGGGGGGCCTGTGGTCAAAATCTTGTCCTGCTCGGTTTGCCTCTGGGCCGCTGGACCAAATCCAGGTGTGACTCCAACATATGAGAAGCAAGAGCCAAGAAAAGAGCCATTTGGAAAATGTGCTGTCTGACTGATCAGCAAAAATGAGAAGTGAGGTGATGTTTTTGTGTCCTTGTAAAGAGGAAAAAATGTACAAAGGCTTTACAAATTGTCTTATTTCTCCCGTACACAAAGAGCTTAAGTACACAAAATGTTTAAAGTGACCCTTTTTAGCCCACACAAATGTAAGATTTATGTGATTTAGGGTTGGAAACTAACAGGGAAACTAATAACAAATTTTATAATAGAAATGTTAGCAGAATATATTCATCATTCAACATTAAAGAAGTTTGTGGGGATTAAATTAGTGGATTAAAGGCATCTTATACAAACAATAACAATTTTTGTCATGGTGTGCGTCTTATGTTTTCATGGACTCTGTAACTTGTTTTACAAGAAAGTCTGCATCTTGATAATATCTTTTATCTTCTTGAGCAAATATCTGATCTTGTAACAGTAACCAAACACTTCCTTATAACCTGACAAATAGAATTCTAATTCAACAACACTGTAAACAAATTAACTGAATATTGTATATGACAACTATAGTGATGTGCCTCCCATATATTAGCAAACAACACATGCCAAATAACTCAAGAACTAAAAATACATACAATAACAAATATGAGCATTTGCTTTAGAATCAATCATTTCTCTAGTTATACTTATGGACATATGGTACATTAGTGCTATAGAGTATCTATCCATGTGCATTACATTGCGTAAACATGTGTATAGGCTATTTGATTTGTTTGATTCTTGTGGATTAAAATGAAACGGAGGATTAAAATTGTCATACCAAATGAATGAAAGCACGAGCCACATGTCCCCTTGGAGAACTACAAGAGCGCAAAGGGAGCGCGTGAACTTGGCACAGCCGGCACGTGCACGCGAACAGAACAAGCGCGCGCGGATATTTGTCCCGCTTTTTCATACACTTCTCTCTCTCTCCCAAATGTCTCTTTAATGAGCGCCTTGGAAAAATGTCAATTTTTCACAATGTGGGTCAAAGCTCAATTGAATTGAGTCCGCTGTTTTTTCTAACGAGTTCCTCTGAGTCACGTTTTCCACCACTTATCGGCTGATTTTAAGATTTTGGACAGGTTTCCCGTCCGTGTGTTATTTTCCCACTCTGTGATTGACAGAGCAAGAAATACAATCCCATGGCACTTCATACTGATGTGGACAGATGAATGCCAAAATAAACTGCCTTATATCCGGCAGAGAATGTCAATCAAATCCAACGAGTGTGTTCATTTTCCCTAATAGAGCCAAACAGCATCTCAGCATCGGGTGCGCGCCTGAACGACCTCAAACAGTGAAACAGCAAAAGACAGGGAAGACCCAAAGCGCAACTGCTGACAGGTACACAGATATGGAGTTCCCAAAATAATTCATTTAACCCGTTCGTGCCTGAATGAATCAGAAGTATTTTATCAAGATGTTTAATCTTTCATGCTCTCTGTAATGTGCTCTTACAAGAATGTCTGCATTTTGTTGATGTTCTCTTTTCTCTTCCTAGGTAAATATCTGGTCTTTCACTTTAGCTTCCAACAACAGACAAACAATTCCTCATTACCCTACGCGACAAATTCAAGTTCAAATTCAAAGATATTATTGAACATCAAGAACTTCTGTTTATCAACCAGTATATGTTACATATGATTATTATAGTGGTGTTCCTTCCATACAGCATGTTAGCAAACAACACATGACAAATAACTCAAGAGCTAAAAAATACATACACAATGAATGCCAGAGATTACACAGATGCAGAAAACATTTCTGCTTATTTAATGTCTAATGAAAAATGGTTCTGATAATAGGTTTTGGTGTACATTATTAATACATTTTTAAAAGATAATCACTGTACACTTTTAAAAATAAAACTGGTTTTCCCAGCGATGCATTTATGGTTCTCCTAAAAAAAACTTTTGGTTAAAGTTATTTTAATATATGAAGAGTTCAGATGCAAAAACCTCTAAATTCCATTTGAACTTTTCTTCTAAAATTAGAATTTTCATCAGGCTCTTATGTTTACTTTCAGTAATTTCACTTTTATGGCAAAAATAAGTAATTTTCATTGCCTTTAAATTGAAATAACTCTTAATAAACAACTGAGGCTGAAAAAATATTTATTTTTGACTGAAATTTCAGACAACACCTTAAGGTTTTTGCATCTGAACTCTTCATATACATTAAAACACTTTTTTTTTTACACTAGAGAACATTTCATGAGATGAAATGTTTCTAAAGATTTGAAATGTTCTTCTTGGAACTATTAGTGCCTGAGCAAATATTTGATAGTTTTTAATGTCAGTAGCCAAAAACTTCCTCATAGTCCTACCTGACAAGTTCTAATTTAAACACATTATTAAATGCAAAGAAATGTTGTCTATCAACCTGTAAATATTAGGTATGAGTAGCTTGAATTCAATTACTGGTCCTTAATAGCAAATGTTTATTAATTTGATGTTGGCAATATATGTAATGTATAATCACTAGACTGATTTCTGTTCATTTCCTCAATGATTCAATAAAGATGTCTCTTGGATCACATTCTTTGGGGTTCTTTGTTTTTGACCACCTATGCCTCTGGCTTGTCACCAAAGAGAAACACTTAAAAAGTGCTAACAAATCATTAAAAAAACATTGCTAAAATTGCCAACTGTGGAAGCTGGTAGAACCAAATGGCATTTAAATGTAAAAATTTAAAATGATTCTTAATAGTGTGGTCTAAAAGGCACTTGGATTTGAAGTTTGAACGAAAAGTTTATTAGGAATGTTACTGAAATCCAATCTTGCTGTTTGCAATAGAACACCTATCCACTGTATGTTTGCTACTTGTGTACATGTTATGTTTACTGAGATCACTCATCGCACTATGATATTTGAACTCATCTATCTTACTAAGATCTCAAAGTATTATCCTAAAGTTCCACTACTGATAAAATTAAAATCATTTAAAAAAAAATTAAATTATATGACTGAACTGGGAACTGATAAGAGTTCAAGCATCTTTGGAGTTATCTTATATATGATGGACTCGACCAAACATGCATTGGCGTCCACACATAACAGACATACAAATCTTTACAAGGTATGTTTACAGGTTATTTATTGATTAAATATTAAGCACGTGGAGTTTATTACTTCATATTAGAATGGCACTGGAATGTGCAGTGTGGAATTACAAAAGCAACGTATCATTTCATTTGATAAGATATTGCTGCGAGTGCTGTCTGGTTTTGCAAACAGCCGTGCGCAAAAAAACACGGACACGTTTGTAGTATGTAATATAAAGTGCCATTTTGTTACGTTTGGATTAAAATCTGTATTTTAAATAGAGAAAACACACGGTGTAGAAATGTCGACGCTATTTCATGTAAACACGAAACGTGCGCGCTTGAGACTGAAGCGCGCTTTGCCACATAAATCCTGCCTGTCAGTGTGGTCTACTCTTCAGTCTCCATGTTACAAAACATCACCCTTAAACAGTTCGTGTTAAAATAAACATCAAGTCGAACGCGAATGCACCTGTGCCAGGCAGATCGCGCGCGCGACTCACCTGCGTTCCGAAGTTTCTTGTTTCTGTAGACGGAGAAAATCACCAGCAGGTTTCCCAAAATATCCACCACTATAGTGAATATGAGGAAACACCCGAGAGTAGTAGTGACCCAGGGCGGCCGCTGAAGTGCTTGCTCGCTAGGGTCCAGTGCAGAGCTGTTCAGAGAACTCCCATTCATAAACATTGTATATCTTCATGAAACTTTTTCTCAATCAACGAAATAAACCGTGCAGTTTTGGTGGCGCGCGTTCCTCCGGTGGGATCTCATCTCTTCGTGAGGTCTGGGTAAGTTGTGCGACCCGGACAACTTTCCTCGGTTCTCTCGTCCGGGCTTTCGTGTGTCGGGGTCTGCACTTTTATGGCTATGCGTGCACCCATCACAGTGTTGGTACATGACATCCACGGGCAACTTCAAAGCTCCTGTGAACATGTGATTAACTGAAGTGTTGTGTGTGTGTTGCCCCCCTGCGGTCGTCTTCGGTAACGTTGCTTTCATTCAACCCGTTCCAGCTGTGAGAGCTTCTGTCGTCCCCTCATTCATTATTATTTATCCGCGCTAAGAGAATTTTTATTCACTTTTTTGTCTTTCCATTCAGGGAAATGTAAAGCACGTGCTGCTACGTGTAGAATAGATGGAGGCAACTGCAACTGTCATATTAACATGAATATAAAAAGATTAATTGGTATTGTGTTAAAATCGTTATTGATCATTGATTTATTATTATTATATTCTTATTTATTGTCATTTTTATTAGTCATTAAATGTGACTCTGGAGCTCAAAATAAGTTTTATGTTACAAAAGTATTTTGAGCAAGAGCCAAAAATACATTGTATGGGTCAAAAATATAGATTTTTCTTTCATGTCAAAATCATTAGACTACTATTTTAGGTAAAGATCATGCTCCATGAAGATATTTTGTGAATTTCCTACTGTAAATATACTACTGGTCAAAAGTTTGGGGTCGTTTATTTATGTTTTTTTTTTTTATTCTGTCCATCAAGGTGGCATTTATTAGATGTAAAAAAAAATAGTTAAATACTTTATTAAATATTTATTTATATCTTATTATACGTAGTTTTAAATTAAATTAGTCAAGTCATTATTGCTTTTATTATTATTATCATTAATAATAATTATTATTATTTTAATAATAATATAAATAATAATAATGATAATAGGAAATATTACAGTGATTTCTAAAGGATCATGTGACTTAAGACTGGAGTAATGAAGCTGAAAATTCATCATTAAAAATCACTGAAGTAAATTATTAAATTACATTATAAACTATGTTTTGAACAGTTCTTTTTTAGTGCAATAACATTTCACAATGTTTCTATTTGTTCTGTATTTTTTATTAAATAAATGCAGCCTTGGTGAGCAGGAGAAGCTTATTTTAAAACATTTTAAAATCCTGCTGACCTTAAACTTTTGACCGGTTATGTTTATTAAAACTACATTTATGATTAGAAATATGCGTTACTAATAACATCAATTTAATTTTTTTTTCTGAATCCTAAGATTATTATTCATTAATTAATTAATTCATTCATTCATTCATTAATTTTCTCTTCGGCTCAGTCCCTTTATTAATCTGGGGTCACCACAGCGGAATAAACCGCCAACTTATCCAGCATATGTTTTACGCAGCAGATGCCCTTCCAGCTGCAACCCATCACTGGGAAACATCAATACGCACTTATTCACACTCATACATTACTGACAATTTAGCTTACCTAATTCATCTGTACCGCATGTCTTTGGACTGTGGGGGAAACCGGAGCACCCGGAGGAAACCCACGCAAAAACAGGGAGAACATGCAAACTCCACACAGAAATGCCAACTGACCCAGCTGAGGCTCGAACCAGCGACCTTCTTACTGTGAGGCGACAGCACTACCTACTGCACCACAGCATCGTCCAAAAATAGTTGTATCTCAGCCAAATATTTTCCTATCCTAATAAACATAAAACATTCATTCATTCATTCATTCATTTTCTTTTCAACTTAGTCCCTTTATCAATCAGGGGTCGCCACAGTGGAATCAACCACCAACTTATCCAACATATGTTTTACTCAACAGATGCCCTTCCAGCTGCAACCCATCACTGGGAAACACCCCAGAAATGTCAACTGACCCAGCTCGGGCTCGAACCAGCGACTGTCTTGCTGTGAGGTGATCGTGCTACCAAGTGCACCACATGTGACACCCAAAACACACATCAATAGAAAACTATTTTCATTATGTTCTTTCCAGGAGTTGACATTTCTGCAGTTTCTGTTAAAAGAATGGCAAAACCACAACCTTTTATTTGCCCACCTTATTAAATGGTATCTATTGTATCTCGTGGGTCATGGTGAGATTAACTTATTTGACCTTTTTCCACCTTTAGAGGAAACATTCTGCTAGATGTACATTAGTGACATAATGGAAACGTCTGTGTGTACTTAACTAATCAAACATAACAGCGGTTGCTGACACAGGAAGATGTATTTGCTTCAGCCTATACATCATTATAAAGTTCTTTGTGTGATCCGGGCACATCTGAAAGACTCTCTCCTATCTACAATGGGCTAAGAGAATGCAGACTCCATTGTGCTGCACTCGGCACTCAGACCTGGACATTAAGAACACTTATGCTCAAATGCTATTTGTTACTTTATCTAAGCATTCAATACTACCATACCCTGTAAGTTAATTATCAAACTTAGATACCTAGACATTAATATCTCAATCTGCAACTGGGTTATGGACTTTCTGACAAACAGACTCCAGAATGTTAGATCAGGTCACATCTGCACCACTACCGTCATAACAGCCCAACACTGGTGTACCACAGGGCTGCGAGCTAAACCCCTTCCTCTACTTCCTCTTTACCCAAGACTGCAGATTCATGTGTAAATGTAACATTGTCAACTGTCAACATTGCCAAATTTACATTGTCTGTATTTTGCACTGTCTGTATTTTGCACTGTCGCTGTATTTGCACTGTCTGTAGCCAGCACCTAAGCTTTTCACTCTTCACAGCACATGTGCTGCTGCTGATAATGTGACAATAAAAGTGATTTGATTTGATTTGATTTGAACACCGTAATTTAGTTGGCAGATGATACTATGGTGATCGGTCTGGTCAGCAACAACGATGAGACAACAAAATCTATACTATAAGGAGGAGATACAACATCTGGTACTTGGACACAATAATCTGCTCCTTAACACCACGCAGATCAAGCTTTCTGTGGACTTCAGAAAGGTAAGAAGAGGCTCTCATGATCCCATCCATATCAATGGGATGACCCCATTTTAGAGGCCTACCATGTCCTTCAGCCTGGCCAAGAAGGCTCACTAGCACCTTTTCTTCTTAAGACAACTAAAGAAGAACCAGTTGTCCTCAACCATCCTAGTGAGCATCTATCAATGCACTATAGAGAGCATAACCAATTGTGTCACAGTATGGTATGTGAACTGCACTGATGCTGAGCATAAGGCACTGGAGCGGGTGGTGAAAACTGCCCAGAATAGCATCACAGGGACTCATTGAGAACATGCAGAGCCATTAAGACTGTCCAGAAGAAACACTGTCTGCGTTGAGTATGCAGTTTTCCTAAGGACTCCGCTAACCTGGTGCTTCAAGTTCCCCTGGACAAGAACCAGCAAACTGAGAAATAGCTATTTTTCCCAGAGCTGTCTCCCTATTGAACACTAAGTCTTTTGCCCACCTCATACACCCCTACACTCTCATCATAACCATTTCCCTATTCAATTTTGCACACCTAATAAAGCACATAATCATTGCACTTCACTGCACATATCCATTTGTAAATGTACATATCCACTGCACAATCATTCATTTTCCTTCGCTTAGTCCCTTATTTTTCAGGGGTCACCATAGTGGAATGAACCACCAACTATTCTAGCATATGTTTTAAGCAGTGGATGCCATTCCAGCTGCAACCCAACACTGAAAAACACCCATACACTCTTGCATTCACACAAACACTCATACACTAAGGCCAATTTTGTTTACCCAATGCACCTCTATTGCTTATCTTTGGACTGTGAGGGAAACCTGAGCACCTTGAATAAACCTACACGAATATGGGGAGAACATGCAAACTCCGCACAGAAATACCAGCTGGCCCCGCCGGGACTCAAAACAGTGACCTTCTAACTGTGAGGGGACAGTGCTAACCACTGAGCCACTGTGCCACCCACCACTTTACATATACATTTGTAAATGTATGGTATACATATCTACATATCTAGCAAATTACAACCTGTATATTATGCTCATATCTATCTGCATATTCCTGATTATTAACAGTAACATGTGCAATTTGTTTTTCTATTTGTAAATCTCTGAGTTAATACAACTTTTATATGTTATTCATCCATCTGTAAATATTACCCATAGTTTTCTATAATTACACTTATAACTTGTACCTATACTTGCTGCGACTGCACTCCTGATTAGCCCTAAACCTAGCATTTTGTTGAATTGTACTTGTTCATGTGTTATGACAACCAAGTTGAATCAATATCAGTCAATATCAATAACATTGGATCATTCTCTGGAGGTTCTCTTAATTCTTGATTTATTTTTTATTACTATTGTTATTATTTTATTATATTATTTTATTATTATTATTATTATTTTATTATAATATAATTTTTGCTACGCTGTACATGTAATGGTGGGATTTTTATCAATACTACTTAATAAAAAACTGCATTAAAAACCCATGGTTTTTATTTTAATTGTATTGTTATTGCTGTTGTTATTTACAATTTACATAATAGACATTAAATAGTAAGATCATCAAATGTAGCATGTATGACATTACATTGCACATCTTGGGTAAAAAAAAAGAAAAATGAAAGTGCACACATTTTATCCAAAATGTGCCTTTGTTGGCAATACCATGAATGCAGTTCCATTCAAGTTACACTGAGAGGTAAATTCTGTGAAGATTTCAAAGTGAATGTCTTTTATTTTTTTTTGAGATAAACTAGAGCTGTGAAAGTCTTAATGGGTTTAAGACATGCAATTATTCAAATGCTTAAGAATTTTTTTTTTCTGACTGAAGCATGTAAAATTACAGTACATCATTAATGTAATTTACGGCATACTGTTAGATGATCCTAATGATTGAATGCTATCACACTGAGCATTTAATCATGCATCACGCTGCGTGAAATACATTGAGCACAGAGTAAAAACATGGCCACAATGTGCTGTGTGCCGCCACATGTAATGTATAGGCAAATTTTATATCTCAAAAGAATATAGCATCATCTCCTTAGTAATGTTCTGATGAATAGGGATTTTAATCAAGTCATCGTAAAAAAGTAATGGAAACATATGCTTTTTTTCTATTTAATCTATTGATATTAAGTACAACTTAATAT